TTGCTGTGAAACCTGTTACTATTCTTTTTTTAACTTTTTCTAGGATAAAATTATTTCTACAATTATAATTAATTATTATAATTAGAGAAAATAATTACAAAAACAAAGACATTAATAGCAAGCAAAGTTTACATTTTTGCTTGCTATTTAAAAAAAACCTTATTCTTTTTTTTCAATAATATCTTTATTTTTATGATTTTTGTAGATCAACGTCTTATATCTAGTATTTTATATTATTATTACATAATCACATTTTTAAATTTCTTACATTTGGATAATAAATCATAGTTGGTTAAGTAAAATAAAGATTATGATTCAATTCTTTGAGTTGTTCTAAACATATTTAAAAGAGAAACATCTTTATTTTCTTAATCTGTAAAAATATATTTTCTTCTAAAGATAAGATTATTATCTGTAGGCATCTGGATCCTTCACAAGGAACAGTTTTTTTGCAATATTTTTCATACGAAAAACAAACGTACCAAAAATTATAAACTACCAAAATAAGGTTTAAAAGTCCCCCCTCCAGTTTTGATGTATAACTCAAAGTTATGGTTGCAAGTTGCAGCTGTTATGGCACGTTATAGCTGCGGGCACTCTTTACAACTGTTGTTTTGTCGTCACGTTATAGCTTTGGTCTATATTTACAGCTGTGCTCACACATAATAGCTGTCAATTCACATGTAAGCGGTTGCCGCACGTTACTTATAACTATGGTAGCACGTTAAAATTGTGGTGTATCATTACAGCTGTATTAGCACGTTATATCTGTTGGGCAAATTATATGTAGCTGTGACCTCACTTTATAGCCGTGATAACAAGTTCAAAATGTGTTGTGGTTTTACGTAATAGTTGTTGTAGCACGTTATAGTCATAGCTGCACGTTATTTTTATGTAATAGCTCTTTTAAATTCGTTGTAAGCCGTAACTAAACGTTATATCAATGATGTTTAGATACAGATGATTTGTGATAGCACGTTACATTGGTTGCAGAAGTGTTAGCCGTAGCCTCCCAGTTATATCTGTGATGTTATATTAAAGTTGAGGCCGAATCCAGTCTAGATATTTATCAACCCTCGTATAAACTCCAGGGAAGTCAGGTCGGGCGCATTCGACCCCAAAGCTGGTGATTCCAACGAGTGTCCATCCAGCCTAAAAACAACATGGTTTCTAACTCATGAAAAATACAATTTAAGAGAAAAAGAACAAATTATTTAAAATTGTCCAAATTCAATTTCTGAGGTATTTAAAAAGTTTCAAAAATCTTTATGTAATTTGGAAAGCTTGTTCCGTAAATTTTCGCGTCTCAGCTAAGGGAAATATACCTTAAAGAATTCCCCCCCCCCCTCCTCCATTGGAAAGGGGGAAGATTTAATAAATAGACATTAACGGGGGGGGGGGGGAGGGGTGAATTTCGCATGGGGGGGGGTAACATTGATTTTTAAAATAGCCCGGGATATATAAATTTAGTGATGACTTCATAATCGTTTTTGACCTTATAATTAGCGCGGCATTCATTATATGGCAGATACAGGGTGTCCCACGAAACATGATAGTTGGTGAATAGTTTAAAATGTCTTCTTCCATAATATTTCAAGTTGTTTGTTGCCAAATGTAATAATAATAAATATTTTATGGTATCCACAAAAAAATTATATAAGAGTAAAATTTTAAACTAGATAAACTACAAAGTCTTTAATATCTAATATAGCATATGGAAGAAGACATTCAAAACTATTTACCAACTGTCATGTTTCGTGGGACACCCTGTACTCTGATTTTAGCCATATTTTCAACGAAAAAATAAGCACAAAATTGCCCTAGTCCTGCCATATCCTAAATGTGTTGGCAGACTTTATTTTGCTCACAAAATACCAGAGATGTTGAAAACTTTAATTTCAATTTATTGAATAAAACAATGAAATGATCTGATTCTGAACGAAATCATTCATATCTCCGGTTATTAAGAAAGAACAGAAATTACAGACCGCATTTTGTAAATGGCTGGAGTATAACTATTCTGTAATTATTGTTATTTTTAAAATGGCTAAAATTAGATTACCTACAGGGTGTCCCAAGACACATAGTTGGTAAATAGTTTTGAATGTCGTCTTCCATACACTAAGTTAGAAATTAAAGTATATTTTACTTTGAAATTAATTTTACTATAATATGACTCCTATATTATATTTTTATTATTGTCTTTGGTATTAAACAACTTAACAAATTATGGAAGAAGGCATTCTAAACTATTTACCAACTGTCATGTTTCGTGGGACACCCTGTATGTTAAATATCGCAAACTATTACTAAGGTGAAAGACGACATTGAAGTCATCCAGCAATTTACATTATTCCAGGTTATTCAGAACATCACTGTTGTGTACCTCTAGATGATCTGATAGAAGAGGTCCTCCACTGTCCCCGTTACAGGTGTCTCGTCCACCTGTTCCAGCACAGATCTTAGCATCTCCTGAACACATAAACAGGTTTATCAGTTTTTTCAGGGTTTAGAAAATATCAAATATCAATTTATACAACCTAAAAGTATCAAGGTTCTTTAATAAGGTTGCTCACTCAAGGTTGTCTCCTAAGATAGATAAAAACATCATATGACGTCACTCTCGCCTCTATAATCATTAACGTCATATAAGGTTTTTTTTATCTATCTATCTAAGGAGACGACATTTTCCGTACATTGGAGCGCATCAAGAGTGACCAACCTTATTAAAGAACATTGGGTCTGCCGCTTGAGTAATTGTAAATTGGCGGTACAGTCCAAGTTAGGACCGCAAAGGCCGGTTGGTCCAGCTCGGATATTGTGCGTGGTACTGGTTGATCACATTTCTCATTATTTTAGTTTCTCTTAAATTTGGTTTTGCTTTTATTTAATGGTTACTCCCCACTCCGGGGCTCGTTTTCTCTGTTTCAGAATTCAGGGTGGATTAATATCAAGGAATTTTATCCCCCCTGCTTAACCTTAGAAACGACTTTCTAATTTCTTTTGAATTATTGATAACTAGCTGAAGTGCCTGGCGTTGCCTGTGTAATTTTAAAGAAAACATTCGAATTTTGAAAATAAAAAAGTTCCATTTTTTGAAGAAAAAAAATTCTAATTTTTAATAGCCTATGTTACCCCTGGGGTACCCGTGGGTTTCCTTAATTTGATTCAGAACTTCAGCCGTTTGGCCAGCTATAGCTAACATCTTTTATTAAAGAATTATTGAAAACTAAATATTACCTATAGAAACTTGACCAACATTTGAATAAGCACTCTCACAAGTTTGCTGTGATACCATGGGAACCTGATATATTAGTTTGCTGTGATACCATGGGAACCTGATATATTAAAGAGATGTATTAGTTTGCTGTGATACCATGAGAACCTGATATATTAAAGAGATGTATTAGTTTGCTGTGATACCATGGGAACCTGATATATTAAACAGATGTATTAGTTTGCTGTGATACCATGGGAACCTGATAAATTAAACAGATGTATTAGTTTGCTGTGATACCATGGGAACCTAATAAATTAAACAGATGTATTTTTATAGAAATAAAATGACGGAAGTAAGACGGAAGTAAAATTTTCAAAATACAATTCAGTCTGAAAAATTTTATAAATTTAATTTTTAAAAGTTGTCAGTTGTCAATGTCCTTGAGTTTTTGGGCAAGCGCCTCTGGTCCCCCCCACAAAAAAACTGCAGTGCATTTGAATTTATATTTTTAATCATATTTACATATATATTTAATTTAATTTATAACTTTTGATCGCGTCGTGGTAAAAAAGGAGTGTTAGGTAATTTGATGAATATGTTTTTGCACTTGTATTGAGGCAATGGTTATCGGTTATTTCTATTTATAAGAGGCTTTTTGACAAAAAAAGTAAATTTTTATTCTATTTCAATAAAGATAAAAAAAACACTTACTCTAGAAATATCCTAATTTCTGTTGAGAAAATAGAGAAACCAAATAAAATAATATTAAAAAAGCATATATATTCAGCTAAACATTATGGCACAATGATTGGTACCAGGCTAAAACATTATGGCACAATGATTGGTACCAGGCTAAAACATTATGGCACAATGATTGGTACCAGGCTAAAACATTATGGCACAATGATTGGTACCAGGCTAAAACATTATGGCACAATGATTGGTACCAGGCTAACAAAATTGAGCATTGAGTTTTCTCATTGTTAGTAGAGAGCAAACTAGTTTTATAAAACATTGAATCAATCTTCCTAGTTGTAAAGTCACTCTAGTTTCAGTAGAAGTAAATATTTACATTTACTGATAGCGCCGATTGAAGGATTCATAACTCTAATAGTATAATGAGATAGACAGAAAGATAGATGTTACCGCCATGCATTATATCTATTGGGTCAGAATAGACAACATACATATGACTGAACCCTGATTGGATCAGGCTAATGGACTCGGCATACAGGAGAAAAGTACCTGGGCTTGTTTTAATCTAGTCTCAGCCCCACCTCCCACAGCTGTTGAACCCCAACCTAAAAACCAGAATTAACTGTAAACTGGAAAATTTACTCATTTCTGCTGTAATAATCCTGATTGCAATAATTCTAGAAATTCTGAAATTTGGATTAATATTTCAATGTTTTTTTTAATTAGCTTCTTTGTGAAAAATTAAGGTTATAAACTTTAAATCAGTTCTGGAACCGAATTTATTAAATTCGAGCAAGGTCGCTGCCGGTTCAAACTTGAATCACCGATTCAAATTTTAAGATTCATGAGGATTTAAGTCAGTGATACAAGTTTTGAACCGGCTGAGGGTGATCTGGCTCAATTTCATTAAATTCGGTCTCTGTGTACACATTAAATACTATTATGTTTGATTTTAATAAACAGGGTTGCCCAATTGAGATGAGACTTTAAAAGCCGATTAAACGGAATTTGTTCAGCAACAAAAAAAAAACAGATCGTCTTAGTAGTTTTCAGAAAGTTGCATCCTTTATTGGATAGCCCTGTATAAATAAAAAAAAAACAATAATAACGTCTTTTTCCAAAAATTTAAAAATACATTATTAGAGTTTTCTTAAATAAACATTGGAAAAATAAACAATCTGAGTTTACAATTAGAAAAGAATTTGAAATCGGTTTTAAAAAATTGAAAAATAAATTTATTTAATTTGCTTACAATAAGAACAGAGAAATAAGTAAGTTTTTTTACGAAAAATAAAGAATAAAGAAAAATGGGAAAAAATTGAAATTGTTTACAAAAAAAACGGATACATAAATAATTTAAGTTTGTTTACACAAATATAAAATAAACAAATAAATCTGCTGGTGCTGACCTACAACAGTTGGATCTGGATTCGTCATGATAGCTGCAATATCCTTATTCTGGTATGCATCTGGTAAACAGGCCCATCGTACACCCCTAGATATTATTTTAAATATCCTTATTCTGGTAGGAATCTGGTAAACAGGATCATCGTACACCCCTAGATATAATTAAAAATATTCTTATTCTGGTATGCATCTGGTAGACAGGCCCATCGTACACCCCTAGATATATAATTTTGAATATTCTTATTCTGGTAGGCATCTGGTAAACAGGCCCATCGTACACCCCTAGATATAATTTTAAAATTAAGCCTACTTGCATTTACAGGATTTTTAAAAAATCGATTTATTTTTTAAAGTAATGATGGTTTAGTACAGTGACTGATTTTATATGAATCTTTTTTACCGTGCTGTATTTCTAACACCCCACCCGAACCCCTATTTTGCGATAGCTTCCTGTAACATTTAAACTTTTGATATCTCAGCATAAAAAGAAGGCTGAAATTCGAATATACTTAAATTTTAACCAAAAAAAATAATTTTTAATTCATTTCCCAGGGACGGGAGGGTATATGTTTTGCGGGGGAGAGGACGGGTGCCGTTTACTCCTTTTTTTTTCTTTTTTGAAGCTGAAAATTATAAAATAAAAAATGTCTTTTATCGTGAAACCCACATAATTTAGCTTTTTTTTTCTATCACAGTCAATATTTTACATAATATGCAAATTCAACTTGGCAAATTCAAATTCAAAGTCAGAGTACCTTGAATGTTAAAAAGCGTAATCCAAGGACGGAATTAAATGAATTTGAGCTAAGTGAATCACCGATTTAAGATGTTTGGTTGAACCGTCTCGATAGATCTAGCTTAAATTCGTTAAACCCGGCTCAAATCTAACAATAACAATAACTGTGTTTAATGTCTTCTTCCGTCGTACACTGTATTAGATAATAAAGACTTGTTGCAGTTTATTTCGTTAAAAAAAATCTTTTACTCAAAAGTATTTTAATTTGAATAAAATTTTACTATAATATGACTGCCATATGATATTTTTAATTATTCTCTTTGGTATTAAACAAGAAGACAACTATTCACCAACTGTCATGTTTCGTTGGACACCCTGGTGGAAATAATAGTTTTACTTACGTTGTATATTGCAGGGGTTGGCTCAACTTGAGAATAGCGATGTCAGCATTTAACGTTGTCGGATTCCACTGCGGATGCTGAAAAAGGAATGAAGAAGTTGCCATGCAAACTCTGATTTTCTAATCCCTATATCTTTGCAACCCAATGTCGTAGATCTCTGATATTTCAAACTATAAATTCTAAGTTCAATTAAGGTTGCAAAGATATACAGATTTAAAAATTCGAGTTAGTGGAAAAAAACTTAATTCCTTCAAATGGTTTAATAAAAGATGTTCTGTTAATCAAAAATACCATTAAATTGGAATTGTAAGATCGATGACACGCTTTTTGTTTGTTGAAATTTTCTCATGTGATCTTTTTTTGCGGATTTACATGTTTAAAAAAATTAAATCTCGTAACTATTTGATGCGTGTTAACTGTCGAATGTCAAAATCAGCTTTTTTCTTTTTCAATAAAATCTTTTAAGTCTGACATTGACATTTCACACAAATTTATGGACTTTGATAACATTTAACAACTCATAGTTTTTAGGTAAACTTTTTAAAGGTTTATTTCTTGTATTAGAAAAGGGGTGAATGCCAATTAAGTTCTTTTTACCTTCGTTATAGATGAAATCTGTACATTAATACCAGATGCTGAGTTGATATCTACATGCCCAGCTCTAATATGAGTTGGATCACTACTTCCTGAGATTATAGTCTTGTTAAGCGGTTTAAAAAACGATCGAAAAATTTTTCGCTTTTCGCTTTGTTTTTCGTTTAGTTTTTCGTTTCGTGTTTCGTTTCGTTTTTCGTTTCGTTTTTCGTTTCGCTTTTCGTTTCGTTTTTCAAACTGTTTTTCGTTTCGTTTTTAGTTTCGTTTTTAGTTTCGTTTTTAGTTTCGTTTTTCGTTTCGATTTCGTTTCGCTTTTTGTTTCGTTTTTCGTTTATTTCTGAAAACGGTAGTTTTTGAACTTTTAAAAACGAAAAACTATTGTTTTTTTTAACTAAAAAAGATCTATCCCTACCTGAGAAGCAATGTGCTGCGGTTACAACAGTGTTTGCATTGACAAGTGTTCCCCCACAAATAACCTGAACAATATTAGATTTTTTTTAATGTACCTAGAGATACGCATATGGTACTTAATTGAAAGTATTTCACAATGTTTACATGTAAAAACTATGTAATCTAGCAGATGTGTGTCTTTCTATGAGACTATTGAAGCAAGTTCTAAGCTTTGCATTAGATTTCTTTCTAATTTATGTAAAAATGACCTTAACACAGTTCTTGGCAGAAATTTATTTTCTATTGCAAATGATTGTTCTGTGAATCCTTCGGATCTTAGTAAAATGTTAGAACAAATGAAATATTTTGATGTCCCATTGGAACATGCATGGAAAGTTCCGGTTTTACAAGAACTTTTAAATACAAGAACGAATAATTTATATGTTGAAGGATTCGATGATTACGTAATAACTGAAATGATAAATATGTTATGTAATGAGTAATGATCAATGTCGTCTATTTGTGCATAATTTTGCATATTTTTCCCTTTTCTTTTGGAAACCTGTATTTTCAAAAATTTATTTAAACAAATTTAAACTACACCATTTATATATGTATTTATATTTTTGTGTGTGAATAAATCTTTATACTAATAACATTTATAAATTCTTTGCGTTAAAACAGCATTTAATACAGATATGATTGTTTTTATATCTTATTCTTAATCAACAGTCTCACTGAAAAACACAATATTTTTACAGCAAACCAAAGACAGTTTATAACCAACTGTCAATAAATTCTGGTTAAGTATAATAATTAGATACCAACTCTTGAATCTGAATATTGTTAACATGCATATTAAGTACTTTTTTAAGCATGTCCATTCTTCCAAATTTCTTTGGGTTTCTTGACCAAAATGTCCAGCAAAATATTCATATTGATTAATTATTTGCCTGTTTTTTCAGGTTTGGAACTATGCATCATTAAAAATAAAACATTTGTTTCTTCAAGACGACCTTCTAAAGCCATTTTACATAAACTAAAATAAATTTTAATTTAATTAGATCAAACTATTGATGAGAATAAAAATAAAATGAAAGAGTAACAATGTTGTAAAGTCAGGCCAATAATTTAAACTACAATGGTAGGCGTTTATATCAATATGATCAAGACTACTTTAAATTTCAATTTTGATTAATATCAAGCTTTTAAACAGCATAAATTCTCAAGAACAATGGAAACAATAAGATGCCGTTGATTAAAAAACACACAAACAATTTAACCAAAGCTTAAATAAAAAGGCGTCTTCAATATTGCTATAATCGCCTACTACTGTGTCTGTATAATTGTACAGTACTGTACACATAATACCAAACATAAAACGAAAATAAACTTGAATTTGATACAATAAAATTAGTTATAAGAATGAAATAAACGACTTTTATGGAAAAAGTTACAATGTCGCAACTGTACAGTACTCACACAGGTCTACCAGGTTAGTAAGTGTAAACTGTCGGTACAGTCCAAACTAGGACTGCAAAGGTTGTCCCAACACGGATACTTAAATGTACACCGGTTGTGCGTGTACTGTACATATATAATACCTGGAAACTGCTTCCGCTAGGTTTACCCAATACAACTGCCCAGGGCCATGTACCCTGGTTAGCAAAGGTTCCTCCGACAATTCTAGATTTAACTGACAGTAGACGGTATTTTAAGAGACCCTTCATTTATTGCGAGCATGTATGATTTACAACGGTACCCTTAAAACCCTTGCCTGACCAGAAATGAAATTGATATCTATGTTTTTCTCTTTAAAAACTCTTATGTCCAGTTTTCTACAACAGTGACGTGCACATTTCTGCTTTATAAATAATTAATCCGGAGAATTTGTCAGAATTTCAAGCAAAACAAGAAGATATCTTTCCATTGTTAAGGTTTTAGTGGTACAGTTGTTAATCGGGCATGTAGAGGAGCTAAACCCTGTTATAGCAGGGTTAAAGCGGCTTAACTGTTTATAAACAGGATAAGTTGATTATGTTAATGCACAAGTTATACCTGTTGCTGTTGCTAACCCCGCATTGTTGGTTTGGATTAGGAGGTGGTGGTGTAGGTTGAGGAGGAGAAGGAGTTGAAACCTGTCCTTGACCCTGGTCAGCACAGCACAAGGAGAAATCAAACCCAGCAAACCCGCATGGAGCTCTGATGGCAGCAAATATATACGGGAGAACGGATTGAACTCCTTGGCTTATTATCTGGTTCAAGATTGGACTGCATTGCCTATAAAAATAATTCTATCGAAGCAAGAAATAAAGAAATGAAACGGAACTGTATATTTTAAGATTAACAAGATTTACACTGTCCGTGCACTTTTGTTAACCATTAATTTCAAAACCTCTATAAAATGTCGTCTTCTACTGGAATCTCCTGTCGGAGACAGCCAAACCAAATTTTCAGCCCGCAAATTCCATTGTCCTCCTCCGACGGAGCTTAAAATATTTTCGTTGTTGTGAAATCATTAAAGTTGAGCAAAATATTTTCATAAGAAGCATAAGTGAATTTCGTTAAATATTCAACTGTAATTTTTCAGAAGTTTAAAAAAAAAAAACGTATTTCAATACTGATCAACAAATAAGTCACCCCTTCTAATACTTAAATAATTCGTAAGATTTTTCTACTATTAACATTCATTATAACATTGTACAATTAAACATGACCTATAATTTATGTTATTTTTTTTAGGAAATAAAGATTTTGTTATCGAATTTCTGAGACGGGGTTACTCTGTTGTGTGTGTATTTGAGCGGCCTATCGGGAAAGAATTGTCTGGGGATAATAAACATCCCCCACCAGAATCCTAACCGGCCTATTATCCTGATTTGTCTAGCGTGTTGCTGTTATCCGTCAACAACTTTCTATTTCAATCTTAACAATAGATAAACGGGCGAAATAAAAATAAGTACTCTATAGTTACGTCCGCCGTTTACCCGCGTTTGGTTGTAAATTACGATTTCAGCTTTATTTCCCTATAAAAGTGGACCCACTCAACTTAGAATCTTAAATATAATCTAAGAACATTACCGAGTATCTCTCCCAAATTAGCCAATCAAAATTTGAGGTAAATCGGTTAATGAGTTAAGGTTGGACATCCAAACAGACTAACAGAGATTACAACTTTATATATATAGATACCATGGTCATTGTTTATATTAAAAAAATTTCTCTAGCTATAAGTTGTACTATATAAACGTCAAAATGTAAAATGTAAACAAACCCAAACACATCTTCCTTTATTTTATTCTGATCAAGGTTGTATAATAAGGTTGCTTACTGTCGAAGCACTCCAATGTACGGGAAATTTCTTCTCGTAGACATAGATAGATAAAATCCGTTTATGACATATACTGGATTTATCTATCTATACTTAGGAGACGACATTTCCCGTACATTGGAGCGCATCGAGAGTAAGCAACCTTACTAAACAACCTTGATTCCTATTATCCAACCTGTCGAATATATATCTGCAGGAGCCTGGCTGTCCGAAGGGTGTTGTGCAGAAAGCTCCTATCCTTAATTTAATTATCGATTAACATTAAAATTATAAAAAAAAGTATTTAGCTACAGGGTGTTCCAATAAACAGGACATTTGAGATATAACTGTAATATCGTTTTCATTTGGTGAAATTATATAAAAATCTTAGTTTTGAAAATTTTAAATGGCGGGTTCTCTAGTCTCTACTAAAGCGTGTTGCGGATTTCTGCATCAGATATACAGCAAAAGAATTTATGCATTTTCAAGATGGGAAAACGACGATATCGTCCACAAGTAAGAAGGGTACTATATATTGTAACTTTTTAAATGGATATTACTTGTAGCTACAGATAAATATTTGATCAATTTTATAATTATGATTTTTAATGTTTCCTCTTTTGTTGTACAGGGTTACCCACAAAGTATGCGACTGCAAAGACGACCCAAAACTCTTTAAATGGCGATTCTAAGATGTCTATTCAAGTCTTTTGCCTTGAATATAGTCTTGTTATGGCCTTTTATAGATTAGGCAAAGAATAAAACAAGTTTAAAGTTGCAAGGAATCATTAATGTAAGGACACAGACAGTATAGATTCCGTACAGTCGTCTCTGAAATCTCATCCTTTGATTGTTCTTGTAGTTGTACCTTGGTGGTCTCTGATTGTTGAATCTTGTGCTGATACTGGGAGAACTGGAGGGGGCATTGTTCCCAAGAAGGCTTTTCAGAGATGTAATGCCCTGAACAATTCTTGTAAACAAACATATTATTTTGGAGTGTAATCGTTGACACTTACAAAAGAGAAGTAGCTGTGATTAGTGGACTCCTTTTGTTTGCAGAAACAATTATAATAATTGGGCCTTACTTTGACCGTACGATTAGATATTTAAGAATTTAAGTCTCAGACCAATATCACATTTTTTTACGTGATATACACAGTTTTAATTATATTTTCCCCCTTGCATTTGTAAACATGCATACCACATACTTTCTTTTAATTCAATAGGCCATTCGGCCATTCCTGACCTGATTTGAATTTTCTCCGAAATTTGAATTTTCTCCGGAATTTGAGTTTCCTCCGAAACCCACCCCATCTGATGATGATGATGATGATCCACCAAAATTTATTTGACGTTTTTCTCGTTCCTAAAGTTATTTTTTCAGATTTATATATTTAGGCAAAAAAAAACAGGCATTTCGCTGGAAATATATGATTTGTAAATAAAACAAATATTAATTGCTGAAAAAATTCCCTGTGGACTAATTTGATGCAAACAAAGACAAAATACAAATATTCTCAGAGTCATTTTTTTGTCTAAATTTTTCAAAAGTTTATTTACAGTTAAACCCTAAATAAGCCATACATCGACAGAATTCATCAAATGTCGTATTCTTCACTTTCTGATAATGGAATGTTGCAGATTCTTAGTTTTAATGATTATAAGGAGCTCTTTAAAACTGTTTCCACATATTTATTTTTTTCGCAAATATTGAGATTTAAGTAAGATAGTATTAAACCCATTAAAAAATTATCAAGACGACATTTTAAAAAGTGTTCTGATATATGGCGCATTTAGGGTTTAACTGTACAAAAAGTGCAGTTGTTTAAAATCCTATTTATATAATTAATCAATAAATTAACTATTATTCATTTGTTTCTGTAGACGGTGTACATGTATCCAGGCATGACCTGCATTTCTTTTGTAAAACCATAATTTTTTGGTTTCCTACAGTGAAACCCTTTATAACGAATAAATCGGAAGAATTTATCAAATGTCGTCTTGTCAATTTTTTAATGAGTTTTATATTTTATTACGTAAATTTCAGTATATGCGAAAATAAATAAATATCCATGAATATGCGGGAACGGTTTTAAAGAGTTCCATATAATCATTTAATTAAAAAACTAAATATCTGCAACATTCCATTATCAGAAAGTAAAGAATACGACATTTTGATGAATTCTTTCGATGTATTCGTTATTAAGAGTTTCACTGTATCATTTAAACAAACTTAATTTAATAAAGACTACCCAAAGGACCAAATTCTAATCATTTTAGACTCTATATGCTACCCCTGGGTACTCACGTGTTCCCTCAAAACTTACAGCAAATTTGATTCAGCCGCTTGGCCAGCTATAGCTAACATATGAGCAATTAGAGCTTTATTATACTGATGAGCTTACATAAATACCAAATATAGAAAGTTATTTCTTGTTTACGGTTCATTACACAAGGTACCCTTTTTACATGAAAATGAAGAAAAAATAGATTAATGAAATGTCAATATTTATTTTTTAAACAAACCATGCGAACAAATAAATTTTTTTAGCAATATTAAAATATTTTAGGAAGGGAGGGAATTATATTACAGTAACTGTAAAGATCAATAAAATGTTTAAAGGGACTGTTTACAGTTTATCAGGTGACCCTCTATTTATTTTTAAAACAGAATCCTAATTTCTTCGGACTTTATTTTTTCTATATCCGCCAGTCGCTCTTGGATAGAAACTGTTAAAATTAAGGATAAACAATTTTCTAGAAAGAAAAACGAGGATAACTCATTCATCCTTAATCAGGCAAAGGTTTAAAGGTTAGATTGTTAATCTGACTGCACATCATGAACATAGAGGTCCCATTAAATTGTGTTTACAGCCCCTTTAAAGGTAGTAAACTCATGTTTATTGACACTCTGTGTCTTGAACTCTGCCTACGTAATATTTTAACTGCTTGACTGCCTAAGTCAAGTCTAGGACCGGTATGGACTGGATTCAAGCCGAAACTATTGTTTGAAAACACTGCATGTTTAGTGCATAAACACCAGAAAACCAACCAGGGCTTTATGTTCTTCTAAAACACTTCAAATTGTTTTTTATTTAAATTTCTAAAAATGTATAATTGTTGCATCAAAGAAAGTATGAGGATAGGAACACCCCTTCATAGGAAAACCTGATATCTTGGTTTTATACAGTTGTTCGGTAATCCCATATAGATATATAGATAGATGGATAGATTTGGTTGGAAAGATAGGTAGATACGGTTGAAAAGATAGATATAAACGCAACGAATATAGATAGATTTCATGGATAGATATATTTATTGGTAAACATTAGTTTTTAGATAGATCTATAGTTTTAGTTGGGTTTAAATAGATAGATAAATATATAGATATGGATACGGTTTATAGATTATAAATAGATTAAGTTGTGATGAGATCGTATTGATATTCTAGATTAATAGATGCATGGCCATTTTTGGACACACATATTGACGACTTAAAGGGAGTGTTCGCGAAAAATGAAAGGGCTTAATGCGATAAAAAAGCGCTTTTGATTGCTACTAATCTTACTTCTATCTGTTGCGTCTATAAGGAGAAAATTGTTAAAGACGTCTTATACCGAATAACATGGCGTCCATACAAATTGAAAAAATTGCAACATACAACTTAGGTACCTAAAAAAATCAATTTAATTTCAAGCAAATCATTCAGATATTACAACCTATAGTCATCGATTATCTTTCGCCACATTTATATATAGTTGATTTTTCATAATATGTTTTAATTGTTATGATCTGAGAGTTACTTATAAAAACATTTATTCCTGTTTCGAGGATTTTTGGTAATGAAGACGACATTTTCATATTTTCCAGGAATGTTCGAAAACAAGTTGTAAGCTAAATACTATTTTAAAAAACAAAATCAAAACTGGTATGAAATATCAAATACATACAAATGTGGCGAAAGATAATCGATGACTATAGGTTGTAATATCTGAATGATTTGTTTGAAATTAAATTGATTTTTTACGGTCTAAGTCGTATGTTGCAATTTTCTCAATTTGTATGGACGCTATGTTATTCGGTATGAGACGTCTTTAACAATTTTCTCCTTATAGACGCAACAGATATAAGTAAGATTAGAAACGATCAAAAGCGCTTTTTTATCGCATTAAGCCTATACCCCCTTCAATTTTTCGCGAACACTCCCTTTAAGTTAAAAAAGAAAATGTGTAAATGCAATGAAACTAAAATAATGTCAATTATGTAACTTTACAATTGTACGACGTTAGATAAATTGCACGTATAGTTACGTTAGTAGAATCTTGCGAATTAAAGCGTTTTTTAGCATACACTTTTTAAATATGTTCTGTTTTTTTAGGTTTTCCATTTTCATCTTGTTGTTCATTCGTCCATCATCCAGCATATTCGGCTAATATGATCAATATATATACCTGTTTTTCTATCTAAAATTTGACTTCCAGATTTATGAAGCAAAGATTAAGAAGTAGCTTAAAGTGGTAATGACAGGTGACCATATATATGCAGCTTGGGGCATGCATGATTCACACCGATACCCTTTGAACCTAGCTCTTTTTCTGAACAATACTTTCAAAGATATTTTAGCTTGAGAAGTGTTTAATTCTGATAATTTCCTCCAATTGTATCTGCAGTAGATATGCACAAGTCAAATTTGGGCAGAGAAACAACGATGAAAAAAAAAATTATTTTTTAATTTCTTGATCAAGACAAAGCTTTTAAGCTGGTACTGTTTTAGAATCCATGAATATTTTGTTCGTAATTACGAATATGTTGTTCGTAGTTACGAATATGTTGTTCGTAGTTACGAATATGTTGTTCGTAATTACGAATATGTTGTTCGTAATTACGAATATGTTGTTCGTAATTACAAATATGTTGTTCGTAATTACGAATATGTTGTTTGAAGTTACGAATATGTTGTTCGTAATTACGAATATGTTGTTCGTATTTACGAATATGTTTTTCGGAATCATGAACTCAATATTAGGAATATCTCAAAAATTTTAATATTCTTAACACTAGGATCGTAGATTTAACAATATGTTAGTAATATTGAAATGATTTCGGTCCGTTTGATGTTTGATGTTTGATGTTTGATGTTCGATGTTTGATGTTTGATGTTTGATGTTTGATGTTTTATGTTTAATGTTTGATGTTTGATGTTTGATGTTTGATGTTTAATGTTTGATGTTTGATGTTTGATGTTTGATGTTTGATGTTTGATGTATGTTTGATGTTTGATGTTTGATGTATGTTTGGTGTTGATGTTTGATGTTTGATGTTTGATGTTTGATGTTTAATGTTTGATGTTTGATGTTTGATGTTTGATGTTTAATGTTTAATGTTTGATGTTTGATGTTTGATATTTGATGTATATTTGGTGTTTGATGTTTGATGTTTGATGTATGTTTGGTGTTTGATGTTTGATGTTTGATGTTTGATGTTTGATGTTTGATGTTTGATGTTTAATCGAACAGTATATATTTCCACAGACCGTAGACACCACGGGGCATTTTAAAACTTTGATGATGTCAATTTGCAATAAAAAAAACAAGATTTTCTAAACGATTTAATTCAAAGAAAAGGTTTAATAGTAGGTTATTTGACATCTTTTAACAATGGATACAAAAATATAGAAAAAATGGCTTCATGTGGAAGCAAGTAAGAAAAGCACAGGTATAGATATATATACTGTAAACTATAGGTATAGATATATACTGTAAACGTTATTCCAAGTACAACCCTCCATTTAAATGATGCTTGATCAATAATTTGGAGGATTCCGTCGATTAAAGCTTGAAAAGTATTAAATATTGATAATTTCTAAATTGTCTCTGAATCAGATATATCTAAATCAGAAAATACTTTATCTAGGGTACCGCTGTGAATCGGACATGCAAATCTATCAAATTAAAATTACGATCTCACAGTCCCTTAAAAACCAATCAGAGACCGAATTTAATGAATTTGAGCCGCGTCGTAAATCCGCCAAAAACCGGTTTTAATTGAGCACCGGCTTAAATCTTGAATTTTAAATTGAGCCGCGTCTCAAATTTAAACCGCGGCTCAAATCCTTTAAATCGGCCTCACGATGGTATGACTAGAACTTAAAAAAGCAAAATAAAACTTTTTTATCGTCAATTTGAAATGACAAGTTGAATCTGATTATTGAAAAATATTTTGTAACGAACATGCCTTTTCAATAATAGTTATTTGTTTAAAACGACTTAATTAGCAATTATACTGATAAACGAGAAGCACAAAATCAAGCAACAAGTATTTTTTGTGGAATTCAATGATAGCTCTTATTTTTTGAATATCGTCATGTACATACAGCCTACAGGGTGTCCCAATAAACATGGGAATTCAGTGACGAATTTGATATCGTCTTTGTTATGAAATAGCATTGTAATACCTAAGTTCAAAAGCCATAATAGTAATATGTCTGCTAGAGTTTATTTTATGAAAAGCGTAAAAGACTGCAAAGATGTGTCTATAATGTCTCGGCAAGATGAACAGTGTAGACGGACAAGTTTACTCTGTTTATGTACTGTAATTTTCTTGTTTTACTAAGTACATCCTTATGCAGTCAAAACATAAACAAACAAAGTGCAAGCATAGCAGACAAAACTCTTACAGATTACAGCTTTCTCAGTAGGTATCACTATGCTAAATCAAAGAATTATTTTAAAAGACGATATCAAATTCGTCATTGAATTCCCCCGTTTATTGGGACACCCTGTAGTACATACTACACGTAGTGCAGGTCAGGTCATACTATGACAATAGTATGACCTGACCTGCTCTATGAACCTATTAGCGACCGATTATAGGCTTCAAATTATAAAAAGAATTTTTGAATCTGCAGTTTAAATAAAGTCCTTCTTCTTAAATAAAAACTTGACAATATCAGGTTGATTAGAAAATGAGGGCTTTTGACGATTTTTTATAAGAAGATCTTGAAAAATGGTCAAACCTGTTAAATTTCCGATTTAAAAAAAAACCTTACTCTGAAAATTTTTAATTGGGAGCCTAAAATACAAAGGTGACGTTTTTTACTTTTAATACAGTGGTAGGCGAATAAATCAATAAATGAAGACGACTTTCTATTTAAATTTTGATTTCTATCAAGCTGTTAAGCTGCATGGATACACATAGAAGTCAAGAGAAGCTGGAAATTTAAAAAAGCTTCTCTTTATGAATTGAAACTTTTATTTTGAAAACCTTGTTAAAAAACAAACTTAAATAAAAAAATAGTTTTCATTGTATTGATATAATCGCATACCACTGTACCATAATACGATCTATTCTACAGTACAGGATTTTCCTCAAAGAAAACTTTACTGAAGGAACAATATTAGTTTTAAGGCTTTAGATTTCCTTTATATCATACCACTGTTTTATGATAGAACTCTTCAAAGAAATAAATATAAATGAGATAAAACGAAATAAATCAACACTCTTCTGTAGAGTCTCATTCTTTGTTAAAACCCCTTCAACACACTTACCATATACTTTGTGTCATTCTTAACAAAGTTTTTGTCATATCATTTTTTATTATCATGGCAAGCTCCAATTATTAGATTGGAAAAATAATGTCACAAATCAAGTCTAAAATCACATAAATTATGTCACTTTTTGAGCAATAATTATCATTTGATATAAGGCTGAACTCCAAGAATGAGTTATAATGTGAACAGTCTCTTAATCACGGACACAGCAAGAAGAATCTGAAAGTATATTTTTTAAATTTTGAGACAATTTATGCTCATAACTGATTTTAGGGTTGGTTGGAACAAAAACTCAATTTGTGGACTTCTTAGGGATGTAAAAACATTCAAAATTTATAATTTCAAATTATAAAAAAACTGATGATCTATTTGAGACATTGATGCTTTTAAATGTGGGTTTGCAATCAAAATACATTCCTGTATAAAAAGTTTTTTTTGGTAATCAACAATTTTCATTGAATCCCTTTGAGTCTAATCTAACAGTTCTTAACAAAGGAATGTCATTTACTTTGAGAAAAATTCTAGAAAATATTAACCCCGTCAATATTCTAGAAAATGTAAACCCCTTCAGTATTCTAGAAAATATAAACCCCTTCAATAATATGCGTATGAATTTTTTCTGAGAGTAAATGGTTTATTGATAATTATAATTACGTGTCTAGGGATGGACGGGCACTTTTGATTCTTTTTAGAAATCGTTTTGTAATTTTTTAAACAAACACAGAGGAAAGCGCCCTAAAAAATATCGAAACGACAGTTTTGTAAGTTTGTTGTTTAAAAATTTTTTTAGCCGTTTAAAAAAGAAAATTTTTTTGTTCTTTTTCTGTTTTAAAGAGTCGTTTCAGATTTTTTTTCAATAGTTTTTTTGTTTGGAAAATTACAAAACGAACAGTTTGAAAAAACAAACGTTCTATTTTAGAAGTGAAAAACGATCTTTTTGAATAAAAACTTCCAAAACGATATCCATCTCCAATCATATGTAGCTGAAATAATTGCATTTCGTGGATTTTCATGATTTTCGAAATTATATTTTGGTGAATTTGAAATTGAGTAATGAATCATCTTTGTCTTAAAAGAATATGGATGAATTTATTTATCCAACCACTTTGTGTTATTTATTGCAGACGATAAGTTTTTATTTATTATTGTTTTCAGTTCAATTACATGAAATTTGAAAACTTCAATTTAACCTTAAAGACATTAAGCTTAATTAAAAATCCCTCTAACAATTTATTGTCACGCATGATAACATGGTGCATTTCTTCAGCTAAAAAATCATTTGGGATAATTTTTATGACATCACTGAATATCAAAAAAAAAGTTGGTTAAAAGATGAATCAGAATTGAAGTCGGTGTTGATTGATAAAAAAATTTTTTCCATTCGATTGAAAAGAAATATGCGGTTATTTTCCTCAATTAGATATATATACATATACATACGTATACATATTTTTCACACCAAATTCAAATTTTATTTGTCACGTACTTAAAAATTGATATGGGTCCATGATTTGTCTATTATTTTGTATCACGAGACCAGCAGGTAGTATCTGAAAAAAAACTTTTTATTGAACAGAAGATTTGTTCAGGTAATTTCCAAAGACATATTCCCAATTGAAAATTTCTCAAGGGACAACTTCCCAAATGTGAAATTTCCCAAGCAGCAACTTCCCAAGTGACAATGTTTCCCAAGCATCAACTTCCCAAAATTTAGGATAGCCTTCTGAGGGCTACAGACTAAAATAGGGACCGAGAGCTGCGGCTAGGATGGGCTTGGGGGCCTCGTGCAGAACAGGTTAGGCGGCCGAGCGATGCGGCAATGACCGACAAAGTTGCCTCTTGGAAAATTGCACAACTGAGAAGTTGCCACATGGAAAAATACCCTTGGGAAGTTGCCACTTGGGAAACAGCCTTTGTGATTAACTGAATACCTTAGATGCATTTGAAGAACATTGTCCCGAACTACATCAAACACAACTCTAATATTCTCAGTGTCTAGTCATAAAAATATATAAATTAATAAAAAAATTATTTTCGTGATTTTGAGAACTCGTTTTCCAGAATTTTTAAATAAAAGGAATAGAGTTTTTGCAACAAACTCAAATCTTCTAATCCCTGTTTCTTTACAACCTGATGTTGTAAACCTTTGATATTTCCTACCTAAAATGTTTGAACTGACAAAATTCATAGTTTGTAATATCAAAGGTCTATAACATCAGATTGTAGAGACATCGGAATTAAAAAATCGGAGTTTGTGTCAAAAACTCAGTTCCTGAAATGACCTCAGAAATAAAAATCCTTTTCTATTTCCTACTTGGCCAATTCTTAACTATCAAAGTGTGAAAACTGTCAGAAATTCAAAATTTTAACTTATTTTTTTTGAAAGAAAATATAGTATGCATTTATAATTGTATCGTATACCTGTGGCCTGTGTATAGTGAGCGTAAATAAAACTATCTTTAGTTTTGAGGTCCATAAATTTGCGTAATATAAACGCTTTCCCGTCATTTCCGTCATTCTGGAAACCTGAAATATGGAATCAAATTAATATTTTTTTAAACCGGTGTTTCTGTATTCTCGGCAATGAGGAATGAGAATATAAAATGAAATGTAGTTTCTGTGTTCTTGTAAAATAGATATTTATTAACCTTCTCGGCAATGAGGAATGAGGATATAAAATGGAATGTAGTTTCTGTGTTCTTGTAAAATAGATATTTATTAACCTTCTCGGCAATGAGGAAATAGGATATAAAATGAAATGTAGTTTCTGTGTTCTTGTAAAATAGATATTTATCAACCTTCTCGGCAATGAGGAATGAGGAATGAGGAATGAGGATATAAAATGGAATATAGACGTAATTTCAAGTGAAATTCTACTTAAGGACTATAATTTCCAATTCACAACAGTACCCTTTGATCCGTTGTCTTTCAATGTCGGAGATATCCTTATTTTTCTAGCTGAAAATTGGGTGCCAAGAAACTCGAATTTAAACACCCTGTAATAAATCGTTATAAATCGGGCATTGCCCTCTTTGCGTGGAGAATCACTTAAAATTACGCTTACAGTCCCTTTAAAACCTATAAATAGTCCTCCATTCTTAGGCAATTCAAACTCTTTAGATAGCTAATTCAGTAATTAGATGAATTTTAGAAAAATGTTACTTAAAAAAACAAGACTTTAATAATTTTCTAATCATTTACCATGCATTTACCTGCATTTACCATGCATTTACCATGCATTTACCATGCATTTACCATGCATTTACCATGCATTTACCATGCATTTACCATGCATTTACTATGCATTTACAATGCATTTACCTGCATAATCCGGGAAATGGTTTTCTATTTTTGAATGTTGTACTTTCTTGTCGTACACATCGGTTTTATTGAGGAATAGAATAAACGACGTGTTGGGCATCCACGGGTTACCCTGAATACAGATTATTCTTACTTTTATTTTATGTAAAATTTCGTTATCAAGTTAGGATTTTGCAGATATAATTCTCCCAGATAGTTAATATTTTTCAATCAAACGCCGTTATTGACGAATTTTGGATTAAATTTCAATGATATTTTTTCAATATTTTCTTCTAAAAATATTCCAAACGAAGAAAATTTAGGGTGCATAAGAAATTCTCAAATTCAACTTCCAATCTTAGAAAAATCCACGAAAAATTGATAAAATATCTGTTGGTGGCAATCGATAACAAAGTTTAATTGAAAAATCAGAACATTACCCATTTCATTATTCTTTGGTGCTAACAAACTAAACTGGGATTTTTACTTATTTCGATTAAATCATTCTATAAAAAAGGTACTGAGTCTTTGCCGCAAACTCTGATTTTCTAACCCATATATCTTTGCAACTCTCAGACCTTAGGAATTAAAAACTTTAGAAAAATGTTATATCAAATAATCTTAGTTTTAATTATTATATATGGCTGACACCATCAAATCAGGTTGCAAATATATAGGAATTTAGAAACTCCAAGTTTGTGGCAAAGACTCAATTCCTGTGGCGAGCTTTGTTTAAATCCTGCACCTGAACCTCACCAAACACATTCAATGACTCCTGGAGACGATTATGCAATCCTTCTTCACCCTATACGTCAGAAAAATATTAAAATTAATTTTTTTTGGGGGGTTAAAATAAATGAAAACTGGGCTTTCGTTCTACCTCTACTTTGAAGTATGAATCATATTCATCGATGGCTGTCAGAAATATAACGGCTGTTAATCTATCCTGAAATAATTATTAAAATACTACTTGTAGTTCCTCTATCCAGTATAACCTATCTGCTCGACCTCCGCCGACATCTGTTATTTTGAACTCAATGTCTGCCACACGGAATTTATATTCTGAAAGAAAACTGTTTTTTTCTTTCTATTTTTCCAGATTTTTTAAAATATTAGTTAGACCATACAATTGTGGAAGGAAGAAGGCCATGTTAGACCCAAGTTTTGATTTCAAATAGTACAATTTACATGAATCATTCATGTTATTATTTATTGTCATTTTTATTTAAGGAAAATAAACCGGGAACTCCGAAATCTTTGTTTTATACAGGGTGGCATAAAAACTTTCAGCCATCAAAAATCCATAAAAAGACAAAAAAAGTGTTTTTTTCCTCTCATAAAGGAATTAAGTCTTTGCTACACACTCTTAGTTTTTAATCCCTATATCTTTGAACATTGTGTAAACCTTTGATGTTTAAACCTTTTTTCTTTATTCAACAGAGTCCAAAATTTAGTTTTAAAAGGTCTACAAAATTTGGTTGCGAAGATAATAGGGATTATAAAATCAGAGTTGGTGGTTTAGACTCTATTCCTTTGAGTTTTGATTAAACAGAATTCAAAGTTTTATTTATCAAAGGTTAATAAAATTGGGGTTAGACTCTATTCCTTTGAGTTTTGATTAAACAGAATTCAAAGTTTTATTTATCAAAGGTTAATAAAATTGGGGTTAGACTCTATTCCTTTGAGTTTTGATTAAACAGAATTCAAAGTTTTATTTATCAAAGGTTAATAAAATTGGGTTGCAAAGAGCTAGTGTTAGCAAATCAGAGTTTGTGGTTAATACTCAATTCTTTTCAGTTCACTTGTTATGTACTCAAAGAAATGAAGGTTCCAGATTTATCATCATTGGTCGGATACAAGGTGTCCCAGGAAGCATGTCAAAGCAAGACGACTTAAGGATCGTCTTTAATCTTTTGAAAAATTTGCGGCATTCATTCGTAAATTTAATTTTAGAAGGATAATTGTTATTATTACAAAATTCCCCTTATAGTCGATCCTGGCATGTTAAAACTGTTTTGTGTTTTCAATATTACTGAAGAAATGAAGAATTTTGTGAAGATTTCGACATTTGGGTTTTATAATTTAAAATCTGAACAAAATTCTTAAGAACATGTCAGGACCAGTTAATTTCGTATTTATCGTTTTAAGAATCATATATGAAAAAGAATGACGCAAATAGTTTCAAAGATCTAAGACTAACTTTAAGTAGTTTTTTTAGTGTCAGGAATCTTGGGACACCCTGTAATTCTTACTGTGAACTCCTGAAGTTTGTTTTCTTGCATTGATAATGTCAGCTGTGATAGGAAGATACCCAGCTTCACTGCAGCCAATAAGAAGTCACAACCTTTTTGTCTTAAGCAATGGCGTGTTTGAAAGAAATGTTAAACCAATCAAAAATCAGAACCATTTTGATCAACCAATAGAAGGCCACAATAATTAGGCTTTAACAATTTTTAAGCTTAATTTTTTCTTGAATTAATCCAATCATATTAAAAAAGTTATAAGGAAGAAGAGATAACCAAATTTTTATAAAAAACCAAACTTTTTTAATTGCTTCTTGAGGGTGATTTCATTAAAAAAAATTATTTATGCAGTGTGTCGCTAAATCAATATTTTAAAGATAAGAAGTTGAACAATAAGATAAAAGTTCAACTAAATAACCATAATGATATTTACTACGGTGGTAGGCGATTATATAAATAATGAAGACGACTTTTAATTTAAATTTTGATTTTTATAAAGCTTTTAAGCCCCAAAACCCCAAAAACTTGGAAACAAAGAGAAGCTGTCAATTAAACAAGCTACTTTTTAATACGTTGCTAACTTGTAATTTGAAAGAAGCAATTGTTAACAATTACAACTTAAATGAAAAGTCGTCTTCATTATATTGACATAATCGATTAACACAGTATTGTATATCATATCTGTTCGGTTCCACAGTACACTGAAGGTGTAGAATTTTTATTCTTTGACTCTCAGAGCGTGAAAGAATAGAATTAATTACACGGTCAGAGCGACGTGAAAGAATTAATGTTTTTTATTCTTACACGATCCAACCACCTGCGGCCTTCGTTAAAGAATACATAAAGATTAATTCATCGAATTTCCGAATTTCCATTTTTACATTTTTTCCTCATGAGATAAAATTTTTATACTCGGACATCTTAAAAATTGTCATTGCTCGCAGGGCACACTTTAGTTCCAGAACAGGGGCAAATACATTAGTTGTCCAGGGGGGGGGGGATCTTGTCGGGGGGGGGCTAAACCTCCCTGAAATATTTTAATTCTTCAAAGGGGGGCTTAGTGTTTGTTCTGTAATGAAGAATAAAGGGCATGAACACATCTTAAAAATTCTAAATTCTATAATTCTACATATGTACTTGCAATCAAATATTGACTCTTAGTTTTAGAATTTTAAACTTTCAAATCATAAATTCGGATAAATCATTTAGTTGTAGTTGTAGTTAAAATGTAAAAGGTTTACACCATTAAAGAATATTGATTTAAGTTTTTTAAAAGTATAACTATTTCTTCTTTTCCTGATTCGCTCGAGTTCGTCCAAAAAACTGAAAAATATTATTTATATAATGAAATTTAATGAAATATAATATTCTAAGATTATTTACGGCTTGTGTAAATTGAAAGATTAGACAAATATTAACATTGACGTAGTTTCATAATCTCTGTAAACAAAATGTTAATATTAAAACTTGATTAAAAGATATAAATGTATTTCAGTTAAAAAAGGGTATATTTTGATAGATAGATTGCAGGGTGTGCCCTTCTTTTCTATAAAAATAGGGTTTCAAGATTTGTTATACATTATACCCATTTTCATTTTGTTATAATAGAAATAATTTTTTTCAAAAATTTTTAAACAGTTTTAAAATTTTTCTTCAAGAGTGAAGCTTTTCTAGGAATTTAGTCAGCTGTTTTTCACGGATTAAATACTTAATCGGTTTAAATCATTAGTTTCCGATGTGGACATTTCTATTTGATGTTAGGTCTATCATAAATAAAAGATAAGCTACAACTTGAAAAGTTGAGGGAAAAATATATTTCTTTAACAAAACAAACTTACTACTGGGCTGAAGTGTTGATTCTAGACTCAGCCTCATATTCTGCTTTTTTAGAGAACGTTTCTTTTATTCCAGGATCCGACCATAAAGATCTTAATATTCAGAGAGATTTAAATATTCATAGAGATCTAAATATTTAGAGAGATCAAAATATTCAGAGAGATCTAAATATTTAAAGAGATCAAAATATTCAAAGAAATCTAAATATTCAGAGAGATCAAAATATTCAGAGATCTAAATATTTAGAGAGATCAAAATATTCAGAGAAATCTAAATATTCAGAGAGATCTAAATATTTACAGAGATCTAAATATTCAGAGAGATCAAAATATTCATAAAGATCTAAATATTCAGAGAGATCTAAATATTTAGAGGAGATCAAAACATTAAGAGAGATCTAAATATTCAGAGAGATCTAATTATTCAGAGAGATCTAAATTTTCATAAAATTCTAAATTTTCATAAAATTCTAAGTACTCAGAGATCTAAATATTCATAGAGATTTATTAATTTATCGAGATCTAAATATTCAGAGAGATCTAAATATTGAGAGAGATCTAAATATTCAGAGAGATCTACACATTCAGAAAGATCTAAATATTCATAAATATCTAAATATTCATAGAGATCTAAATATTCATAGAGATCTGATTTTTCATAGCTATATCTAAATATTCATAGATATCTAAATATTCATAGAGATCTGATTATTCATAGATATCTAAATTTACATAGAGGTTTTTCTTATTCATATATTTCTAAATATTCATAGAGATCTAAATATTCAAATAAATATTCATGAATATCAACCTGTCTACCTGTCTACCTGTTTACCTGTTTACCTGTCTACCTGTCTACCTGTCTACCTGCCTACCTGTCTACCTGTTTACCTGTTTACCTGTCTACCTGTTTACCTGTTTACCTGTTTACCTGTCTACCTGTCTACCTGTTTACCTGTTTACCTGTTTACCTGTTTACCTGTCTACCTATTTACCTGTCTACCTGTCTACCTGTCTACCTGTCTACCTGTCTACCTGTCTACCTGTCTACCTGTCTACCTGTTTACCTGTTTACTTGTTAACCTGTATACCTGTTAACCTGTCTACCTGTCTACCTGTTTACCTGTTTACCTGTTTACCTGTTTACCTGTTTACCTGTCTACCTGTTTACCTGTTTACCTGTCTACCTGTCTACCTGTTTACCTGCCTACCTGTCTACCTGTTTACCTGTTTACCTGTCTACCTGTATACCTGCTTACCTGTCTACCTGTCTACCTGTCTACCTGT